AAGTGTTTTTGAGTTTTAGAGGTGAGGATACACGCACCAATTTTACAGATCATTTGTACAAGGCTTTGTCTGATAAAAAGATCCACACCTTCATTGATCGAGAGCTTGTAAAAGGAGAAGAAATATCGTCAGCTCTTGTCAAAGCAATTGAAGAATCAAGAATTTCTCTCATTGTATTCTCTGAAAACTATGCATCTTCGAGGTGGTGCTTGGATGAACTTGTCAAGATCCTTCAATGTAAACAATCAAACCAACAAATAGTTTTGCCCATTTTTTAAAAGGTGGATCCCTCACATGTACGACACCAAAGAAGTAGTTATGGTGATGCATTTGTTCACCATGAACGCAAAGGATGACAAGGAGAAAGTGCTCAAATGGAGGAGAGCACTTAAGGAAGCAGCAAATTTGTTTGGATGGCATTTCAAGGAGGGAGAGTATGTTTCTATCTTTATCATTTTCAAGTTTAATTTTTTTCTCTCTTCTTTCTCGTTACTATTTGTTACACATTTAATTGTTACTCATTATTAAAGAAAAGTAACCTTTTATAAAAAAAATATTAAATTGTAGGGAGAAAATCTTTTTTATATTTTATATTTTTTTTGTAAAAATATAAAATTATAGGGCATTATGTTTAATTTAGTGTCTTGATTCTATATTTCATGGTTATCTATCTATTTAAGGGTTACATTTAATTGTTACTCATTAAAGAAAAGTATTCTTTTGTAAGAATATACAACTGTAGGGAGAAGATTTATTTTCTTGGGTACTTTTGTATTTTCGATAACTGTAAGGAGAAAGTTCAAAATCCATATATTAATCTCTTCAAAAGGCATACAAGTATAAATGATACATATAACATTAGGATGTTTAAATATGATTCACTAAATGTGTCTAATTTGGTTAAACTGGAAGGTGGAAGCTACATTTATCAACAACATCGTTGATGGAATCTTAATCCAAGTACTGAGCGGCACATATTGGAATGTGGCCAAGTACCCAGTTGAAATTCAGTCTCATGTACAAGATGTGAAAAAGCTTTTAGATGTTGGTGGGAAATGTCGTCGCATGGTTGGGATATGGGGGACATAAGGAATAGGCAAGACAACAATTGCAAAAGCTATATGCAATGCAATTGCCCATGAGTTTGAAGGAAGTTGTTTCTTGGAAAATATTAGAGAAGGAAGCTTAGTCCAGCTGCATAAGACTCTTCTTCATAAGTATCTAGGCAAAAAGTTGAAAATTCAGAGTGTTGATGAAGGAATCGGTGTTATAAAAGAACGGCTGAGGTAGAGGTGTCAAACGGGAAGGGCCGACCCAGCACGGCACGAGCCCAGCCTATTTAAATGAGGCACGGCACGGCACGAGCACGAATATTAATGGGCCGTGCTTGGCACGACACGAAAACTTGGATCGGACCAAGATCAAAAAATGAGGTCCAATGGACCAGGGCGGTCCATGGCCCAACATGGGCCGAGCTTGGCCCGAGCTTGCTTCAAGCACAGCACGAGCCCAAGCTAGCTTCGAGCACGACCCAATTAACATTTTTTTCAAAATGCAATAATTTGACATCTAATGTCATTGTTTATATATTTTTTTAAAAAATTCATAAACATATATTTGATTGCTTTCATTTTAGAGAAATTACTTGGATCCTTAATTAATTAAACATATCAACTACAAATTAATTAAACAACATTGGACTTGATATCTAATCAGTACATATGACATACGCTTCTCTTATAATCAAAGCAAGACATTTCTTCACATATAAAGTAATAAGTTGTTTAAATATGAAGAGTTGAAGTGGACTTGGTGGAGTTAGACACTTTTGACCCTCTGCCCTTTCATGTTATTTGGATGTTTGATTGATTAATGTTTTCAAATAGTTCACTATTTCTTGTCTCTAATTATATTTTTAATGTTTATAATTTGAATTATGTAGTGGGAAAAAAAAAATCAAGTGAAAAAAATTCAAATTAAATGTGTTGGTTCTTGGGCCCGAGTATGAGCACGAGCACGAGCACGAGCACTGAGCTTGGAGGATACCAAAGCACCTTTCAACATCTTTCCTGTAACCCTCTTGATAGGCAGAAAATAATTTTTCCTTCTCGGATCGGGGATGCAGAATTGATTTGACAAATGTGGTCCACCTCGGGTAGATGCCGTCTGCTAGATTATACCCATTCTAGTAGACGATATTGTTGATTTCATAGGTGATATTCTGGGCTTCACCTCTCAAGACATTGTTGAATACTGGGGATTGATCTAGCACGTTCAGGTCGTTTTACGATCCGGCAACTCCGAAGAAGGCATGCCAAACCCATGTATCGAATCCAGCAACGGCTTCGAGGATGATACTTTTTTGCCCTTTCCTGTTTCCATAATCTTCTTGCCTGGCAGTTGGGCAATTCTTCCATTGCCAGTGCATGCAGTTGATGCTTCCAATCATGCCTGGAAAACCTCGAGCTTCGGCTTTTTGTAGAATCCTTTGGAGGTCCCTAGGCGTAGGTTTGCAGAGGTAGTCCCTGGTGTAGAGAGTTTCGATTGCATCACAGAATCTGACCAAGCTCTCTAGAGTAGTGGAATTCCCCATTCTAGCAATCTCATCCACCTGATCAGCAGATGCACCATACGCCAGCATTCATATCACAGCTATAAGCTTTTGCTCCTGAAGAAGCCCTAAAACCCCAACAACATCACACTTCTGAACGAAGTATGCATCGTAATTGCAAACATCATGCATGACTTTATTGAACAAATGGGGTTGCATTCTATATCGCCCTAAAAAATGAACATTAGAGTATACAGAATTTGAGATAAAGTAATCTTCTAAAAGATTCTTACCCCGAGAATGCCTATGTTTGTCCACGTTCAGGCCACGACCGACTTGTGAACCACAGCAGC